TATTACACCAAGTGAAAGGATAGCCCTACAGTCTAATTTTTTCCATTTCCATCTTTGAGATGAATGAGAGGAAGATTGGTAACTGGTTGAGCTCCTTGGGTTGCCTCCTATCTTCTCAGAATCTGCACATATGTCATTCCAATCACCAATGACAAACCAGTTAGTACCCCAAGTGGCTTTGCAGTTGATTAATTCCTCCATCTGATTTGATCTAATGATCTTACAGGGACTTAAATAACAAAGATGCCCCATTGAGGAGTCACAGAGGGAAGGGAAAACTGAATTGCAATAAAAAAGTCTTTACAAATAATATTATGAATTACAATATGAGAATCCCAAAATAAAGCTAGTCCACCATTGAGACCTGTGGGGTTTACAATATCTACTCTATCAGCATAACCTAACTTACAGTAATAGATTTAACAAAAGATTTTTGCTTTTTTGTCTCAGAAAGGAAAAACATATGTGGATGGTGAGCTTCAATTAGCTCTCGCATCTGGGAAATTATTGAGGGCCCACCCAGCCCTCTACAATTCCACACCGCATCTAGCATTGATCACCTTGGTGCCGCTCAAGGCTGGCAACCTCCACCTTTTCAGCTTGCTTCTTGGTCTTCTTAGAAATTGACTGGTACTCATGAGTGTCTTGATGAGAGTGAGATGAGGGTTCTGCAGTTTCCCTTGCCCTTTTAGTTCCTTGTTCTAAGGATTGGACATCTATGACAATTGGCTCCTTTAGCAGCCTTCCATCCTTGCTTTTGTCTCTCCTCCAAGTTCTGGGCAGAGTGGTATGATTTGAGTCCAGAGAGTCATGGAGATTTTTAAGAATGGAGGATGTAGCAGGTGTTGAAGTGTCAAGATCCATTTCTTTTCGAGAGTCAAAGATTTGAATATAATTTCCTGGCAGACTATCTTAAAAGGTGGGGATGTGGGTGGTTGATGCCAATGAATCATGATCTCCATCTTGTGTTATGGGTTGATCACTTTCAGGTAACTGGATGAGTTGCTGACTTGTTTCAGCTTGCTGTGATGAGTGTTGAGTTGATGGGCTCTGCATATTTCATTTGGGAGATTCGGGATTAGTGATTCCTTTAGCTCTTGAGAGATTAGGTTCAAATCCTCTCGGGTTATCTGTGACCTTCATGAAGTCCCCATATTATCCTTCTTTCAGAGAGTTATTATTAATATCAGTAAATCTTTTTGAGCAGCTCCTATCAAGGTGGCCTATCTTGCCACAGTAATGGCAAAGATTCAGCAATTTTTTATATTTAAAACCAACTTGAGTTGCTTGCTCTCCCAGCCTTATATTTGCAACTCTTGGAAGAGGTTCTTCCAAAGTCAGAGTGACTAACAATTTCAGGATTTTCGCCCCATGATTCCCAGCATTTACCAAGACAACATTTTTAACACTCTTAAAAGCTTTGCCCATTTTTAGTCCTACTTCCGTACTGAGACAATCAAGGGGAACATTAGTTACCTGAACCCATATGTTTAGCTCCTAGAAGCAGGGATGCTTGCTTGTGAGCCCAGTGGTCCACTCCTTCAGAACAAGGTATTGATTCTCAAAGCTCCAGTTGATGCCATTTTCGACCTTCATGCGATCTTCGCTACTCCGGAAAATGAACTAAAAATAGTTGGGACTGAGCTCTTTTATTTCCATAGATTGGTTGAGCCTCCAGATATTAGTCATGTCCTTTTGATCCCAATCCAGCTAGCAGCTCTATCACCGATTATTTTCCCGAAAAGACTTCTTTGGCATTCATCTGCACTCAACTTAATATCCTCATTAGCAATGTCAATGAATTTTGCTTCATTGCCTGAGAGAGAAAAGTCTCTGAATTGATTGGATAATTCTTCGTCTTGACTATTCGACATATTGGCAGAACCCTAGAATCCGCAGAATCGAGAGAGGAGAGATTTATGAAAGTAGAAGTATAGAAACTGAAGATCGGAAATTCAGGGCTAAACTGAAAAGAGAGCCCACTTCGGGTTGTAATCGAAAAAAAGACCGAAAAATCTGTCGCTCCCACCTGAGAGAATCTCGTCGCCGCTCCCACCTGAGAGAATCACTTTATATGTCTTTACTCTTAATTAATTTAATTTTATAAATGGAATAAGCCTATACATACTATTATAAAAAATAAAAATTAAGAGCTCCCCCCCCTCCCACCAAATTGAGGCCCTAGGCAGTTGCTTCTCTTGGCTGGCCCAAGAGCCAGCTCTGGGCCTATTTGTAACTTTAAGAAAAATTATCCATGTATCATTATGATCACCATCGCACTTAATTTGAAAAGAAATAAATTGTTAAACTTATTTTGCCAATAAAATAAAGCGGGAAATATGTAGACTTTTTAATCTGAATGTATGCAGACCGAAATTGAGCCATTTTTTATTCTAAACTATATGCATGCGAATAAAAATGGAGTCAGTTTTGTAATTTTTCTTAAGTATTCAATTTATGTTTATAATTTTAATTGACTCATATTTGTACATGTTAATTTTAATTATTTATATACCAGTTGATCTGTATAATATTAATAATTTTCTTATATTTTCAGAAATGATGAAAATTATTCTACTATAGAGGCATTTCCCGAAAAAAAAAAAGTTTTAAGGAGTGTCACTAGTGTGACAAATATTTTTTTTCTTTCATTCGAATATCACAAATGTTTTTTTTCCTTGTGTTTAATGTATTTAATGTTAAATTTTCTATGGAAAAAAAATGTTATTTTCTAATCATAGTCAAGGCAGAAAAAACCCTGAGCTGCTGGTTAGCAAGATACTTAAGGATAAATACTTCCCCAATGATTCCATATTCAAGGTAGAAAAACCCAGAAAGGGTCTTGGCTTTGGCACAGTTGGCTTACTGTGATGCCTACCTTTGCTCAATGTATAAGAACAGAGATCAGGAATGGGCACACAACCAGGATTGATGATCTGAATTGGGTGCCAAAGTTGAAGAAACCTCATCATTCACTGATTGAGATTGCAAAGGGACATTTAATATGGGTTAAGGACTTGCTCCAAACCAATGGCACTGAGTGGAACAAATGGCTTGTGGAGCAAGTATTTGACCTTGAAGACAGTGCTGCAATCCCCAAGATCAACTCCTTGAACCCTGCTAGACCAGACAGGCTGTTTTGGGGCCTAGAACCTAAAGGCCATTTTTCAGTTGCTACCACATATAAATTTTTGTTAGCTAAGAAGTTCTTGCAGATGGACATCCCAGAGACAAGCTTTAAGCCTCTTCCTCCTCATCAGATCTATCAAAGATGTTGGCAGATGAAGATTCAAAATAAAATTAAGCATTTCCTTTGGAAGTGCATCTCAAGAACATTGCCAACTGCTGTCAACTTGAGGAAGAAAGGAATTGATATAAATGCCATATGCTCCATCTGTGGAGATCAACCAGAGACTTCAGAACACATCTTCTTTTCATGCCCAAGAGCAAGTAGGATCTGGGAATCTGCACCAATAAACTAGGATGGCTTACGGCATTGCACCTTCTCCTTCAAAATTTGGTGGCAGTAGATTTGCTCCATTAAACAAAATGATGTTGTTAAAGCTAGGATTCACCTATCCACCTACTTGCTTTGGTGGCTATGGAAATCTAGGAACCTCTGTATTTTCAAAGGATCTCTCATGCGTGAGCACATAATGATTTCTGTTGCACACAAGGATTGGTTGGGAGCATCTTTAGCTGCAGGACATTGTGATGTTCCCTCCTCTTGTTAGAGTAGTTTTTTCTTATTTTTTAGTTCTGTTTGGTTTTGGAGTTTTTATTTTGAAGGGGTGTATTCTAGATAGGCCTTATTGCAGCGGAGAGATGCATTCCCTCTTTCTGTTTGGTTGTTTTCTAGTCTTCTAGTTGTTGAGGTTCTAGGTGCTTTGTGTAGCATCTCTCAGTTTTTAATTTTAGTAGGTTGCTGCCTCTTGTATTTGAACTCTTTTCTCGGTGGTTATATATAGCACCTCTATCGTTCTGGAAAAAAAAAAAAAATCTTAGTCAATTATATGTTGTGTTAATAATGCACTAGATCAAAATGGCTCAATTAAATTCTAGTGCTTCTTCTATTAGTGAAGTTTCTAGGAAAAAAAATATATCAAACGACGCAATGCACCTTGAGTTGCTACGGAAACAGCCTTCTTGTATAACTGCAAGGGTAAGGTCTGCGTACAACTGACCCCCAGACCACAACCAGTTGGGAATATACTGGGTATGTTGTTATTGTTGTTGTTGTATCTTTATTGTCTGATGATTATTATTTACCATGATAATAGTGATTATGAACACAATTTATCCACTACTATTATTTAAGGAAGCATTTTACATGTAATAAATAAAAATTTTGTTGTACATTTTACTATCACTGTGCATGTTTTATGATTTTTTATTTAAATTTTAATTCACTCGCATTATTATTAATACTAAATCCGCGCAACGCTCGAGTGACGTACTATGATAGTAAAAAAAAAAAAAAGATTTATACCATATAAAATATATTTATCCAATACATACTCAATAATTACATTAATTCAAAAAATATTAATTAAAGTAAAAAATATCTAGGTCTCTCTTTTTTTTTTTTTTTTTTTTTTTTTTNNTCCCCAACCTGTATATAGATCAAGACCCCAAGAAGGGCCCAAATATCAACCAAATACAATCAACACAGTCTCACAATCAAAAGGAAGACAAAAAGAAAAGCAAAAAGGAAAGGAAATACTACAAGGTCTGTCATCGGGCTAACAGGTGCCCGGAATAAATGTATGATCAAAGGAGAGAAAATGAAATCTACTAAAACCGAAAAGATGGGTATCCAAGCTGGTCCATCCGTATCTAGGGTCTCTTTGACATCCCAATTGTTCAAGGGCTACTCTCCTTCCTCAAAAAACTTTATTTCGTAATATATTTTTTCGCAAATAAATACTCTGTTATTCGATCAAATTGGTCGATCGACGATTGCCCGCCGGCCGTGATCTGAAAGCCCTAGCAGCTAGTAAATGGCGTCGCGTTTTGTACGACGGCTCGCTGCGAGCCGACCCGGTGGGCTCTCCTCCTCCGCAAACCCTAGCTTCTTGTATCGGAGCTTCTCGTCGGCCGCGTCGGAGTCCGATCTGATCCGTGCTACCCTCTTTCCCGGCGACGGAATCGGGCCTGAGATCGCCGAATCTGTCAAACAGGTATGATGAACATGACCTTGATCGATAATTATACGGTGTGTGATTAGCTAGATTTTGTTTTTTTCTCAACGTTTTGAATTTTGCTGACGCGAAAGGGTTGAAGAATATGAATTTGCCTTTTGCTTCGTGTTAAGAGTGAGTAATCGAGCTTGAATTTTGATCAATTGTGATGGTTTGTGCCTGCGTGTATGGAGTTGATGATCTGCTTGATTGCTGATGGATTGTGGAGCAGTGAACTGTTATATATGCGTGTATTTCATATAATAATTGCGGGAACACAGGAATTTTAACTGCTGAGAATCAATTTGAGATACGCCCTGAGGGTAGGATTATTACATAAATGGTTTTAGTATGTGAGTCGTTTAATTAATATGTCACATTCATTGATGTATTTTGATAGTTAATGATTTTGTGGAGGATGATACTGCAATTGTTACATTGTGTTCGGGATATACGATGTGATTATGCGGCATTGCCTTGGGAGACAGTGCCTATATTGTTACACTTAATTTTTTATCTGTGGATGTTTCTTGTCGATAAATTTTGTTATAGATGGTCTGGTATGAATGGAATTGTTTAACTGAAGTGATGATTGATTATTATATTGGGGGAATAAAGATGTGTTTCCCTATAGTAAATACAGGTGTAGCATGCGAAGTAAAGATGATTACACATAATTCTGACATTAGTTTAAAGATGACCTTTTGGTAAATATCATAACAATTGGTGGAAACCTAGGTATTTAAAGTTGCCGATGTGCCAATTGAATGGGAAGAACATTTTGTGGGATCATCCATTGATCCTCGAACCCAGAGTTTCTTAACTTGGGAAAGTCTGGAATCCGTAAGACGCAACAAAGTTGGCTTGAAAGGGCCTATGGCCACACCAATCGGGAAAGGTCACCGCTCTCTTAATCTTACCTTGAGGAAAGAGCTCAATCTATATGCCAATGTTAGACCTTGTTATAGTCTACCTGGGTACAAGACAAAGTACGATGATGTTGATCTCATTACTATCCGTGAAAACACGGAAGGGGAATACAGTGGTCTTGAACATCAGGTAAGATTGATCTGGGCATGAGCTTGATCCTGAAAAAGCCATTCATATGTCGTCATGATTAAGCCCCTTAAGTTTCTCTAGGTGGTCAGGGGTGTTGTCGAGAGTCTCAAGATCATTACACGGCAGGCAAGTCTGAGAGTTGCCGAATATGCTTTTCACTATGCCGAGACCCATGGACGAGAAAGAGTATCCGCCATTCACAAAGCCAATATCATGCAGAAAACTGATGGTCTTTTCCTTAAGGTTTGCTTTTTTTAATATCGTTCAGAATCAATTCTTTTACCTTTGCCCTTTTGGCTGCTCATTTTCTGCCTCATGCTGCAGTGTTGTCGCGAGGTCGCAGAAAAACACCCAGATATAATATATGAAGAGGTTGTGATTGACAACTGCTGTATGATGGTATGAAAGATTTGTCTGCTAATGAATACTGATTTTACTTTCTTGGCGAGCTGATATCTTCTTTATATAAGAGTTACTACTATTTTAACTACAATTTTTGTATTATTGAATGAAAAACCAAATAATATAATGATTCAATTGTAATATACCCCCATGTGCAGCTTGTGAAGAATCCGTCACTTTTTGATGTGCTTGTGATGCCAAATCTTTATGGTGACATAATCAGTGATCTGTGTGCTGGTTTGATTGGAGGTTTGGGCTTAACTCCCAGGTATTTTTTCTCTTCTATCGTCTTTAAATAGTATCCTATTCGTATATAATTAAGTTTCATGCTTTCACTTAATTCGTTCCCTTACAGCATCAATATTGGTGAGGGAGGTATTGCTCTTGCCGAGGCTGTACATGGTTCTGCACCTGATATTGCTGGGAAGGTTAGCCTTTCTAAACTGTTATTTATTTATTTTCCACTGTTCTTCCTTGTATGATGCATCAGGTCCACTTGTTTTGTGGTTCTAGAATATTTTCTTATGCTAATAATATACGTGCCCTATTAAATTACTCGAATGTAAGTTAAGGACAGTATGTTTTCTCGAGTATTTCTCCTTTAGTACAGTTTCGAATTTCGTTTTTTATTCAATTAAACATTGCTGTATTCATGTAGAATTTGGCAAACCCAACGGCTTTGCTCCTGAGTGCCGTGACCATGTTGCGCCATTTGGACCTGCACGAGAAAGCGGATATTATTCAGAATGCTGTCCTGAAGACAATTGCAGAAGGTAAGTATAGAACGGGCGATCTTGGTGGGAAATCAACGACAACTGACTTTACCAAGGCCATATGTGATCAACTTTGAACAACAGTGGGTCAATGCTTATGCGTTTGGTCTCATGCAAACATTAAGATTCTTTCGATGCAAATTTAGTTCAACATGAATACAATTGCTTTAAGGATGTTTTTTTCGAGCAATTTTTGCTTTTGGAATGGAGCGAATAACTACATGACACAGCCCTTTTTAAGGAAAATCATTGGGCTTTTGCAATTTCCAGTGGAGACTTGGTCACTTTGGGTTTGAGTGCATTTTTTACCTACATTTTCGTATATTGTTATTATTATCATTATTATCGATGTGTAATAACTAATAAGGTTTTAGCATATTTGGAAAATTTTACTTCCCTAATTGTGTTATGTGAGAAATAATAAGTTTGTGCATCTCTCACCCGCAATGTTCCTGTGATATTTTTTATTACATGAATATAATTCAATGATTATTGTAATATTAGTAGAAGAATGAAGTCGTGAGAGCAAAATACAACTTTGTCTTTATCAAGTATAATTCAATTATCATTTTAATAATAGTAAAAGAATGAAGCCATGAGCCAAAAACAACTTTTTCTTTTCCGAATTGAGCTCCCGACTTATTTATCCAACTTAGCAAGTTGAATTTGAGATTTAACGAATCGAGTTATATTAATAGTTATACTAACTCATGTGTTGGGCCGACTAAATGAGTTTGGGTCTATATTGAACTCGTTTATCAAATGAATAGAGTCGAATTTGAAGTTTAATGCGTTGAGTGAAGCCAAGGAGCTGCTCGATTTAATTGCTTTTAGAATTCTTGCTTTTCTGCAATCTCATAACTCAACTTTTTGGTATTCACAATTTTGTATTATGTGGGATTTTTTTTTTTCAAAGCGATATACTTTATAAAATAAAAACACGTAATTACAATTTAGACAACAACTAGAATAAGCCAAACAGACATTCAGCTAAATTTAAGGAGGAACCCCACAACAACGGAGGACCTAGAGAACTATTCTACATACCTATGAAACAAACATAATAAAAAACTGCCACCAGGAGGGAATAACAATTCGTACAAGAGGATACTAAAACAACTACAAAGCAGAATAAAAAACACTAATCACACAATAAAAAACACAAACACAATACAAGACACTAGATAATAGACTACCCCTCATTCTCAGCCAGTAAACAAACCGCGACCCAACTTCAGGAAATAACCTCCCACTCGAATAGTACTCCAGCCGAGTAACGAACCAAAAACTTCAGTTTAGCCACGGCTGGCTGGAACCGCACTAGAACCTAAATCTTCTGCCGGACGGACCACCCTCAGACTGGAGACCTGGAGGATGGCACCCCTCACCCCAATCAGCCAACAAGCTCGCCGATCCATGTGCTCACCAGACAGCCTCTGTCTGTCCACCAATCGCACCGGCCAACCACCCCCTATCACGATTGAAATCAAGGCGACATGCAAAAGGAGGAAGAGAACCATACTTCCTTGACAAGAGTCGAAGGCCTGCAACACGTCGCAACTCGTTACCAGCGAGACCCTCACTAAGTCGGAGACAACATGCCCGCAACACATCGCAACTCGACACCAACGAGATCCTCACCAAACGGAGACGATAGTGGAGAACGGAGATTTCCAATTTTTGAATGATAATTACATTTGATTAATGTAAATTTTAATTTGGGATTTTTTTAACCTCCCAAAGTATCATTTTTTAGAGTTTGCCATACAACTTTTTTTTTTGACAATTTGCCTCTCAATGTAATCGAAACTGACAATTTGCCTCCTCGATTAAAAACCCTAATATAGCACAAAAGTTTTTAACTCAGTTAATGATAAATTTTAAATTAATCTTTAAAATTGATTTAGGGCTTTTAAAGCCCATGACGAGACGAACAAAATGAGGTATGGATTGATGAATTCTGAAAATTTATACCTCTATAATCGATCCACGAAGATAGTAGGAGCATGTGTGTATAAGAAAAAAATTTCAAGTCAATTTTTTTGATAATCAAGATATCCGATTTTCAATTGGGAGGTGTCATTTGAAAGCTTGGAGGACGAGTTTTCTATCAAAGTAAATCTTATGATAATCCAACGGTCGGATTTTGATTAATAGCCTAAAAAAACTAACTATCGATCAATAGTTTTCTAAATACACATAAAAATCCGACCGTTGTATTTTCATAAGATTTACGCGTTAAAAAATTAGTCCTACAAGCTTTCAAATGACGATTCCCAATCGAAAATCGGATATCTCGATTATCATAAAACTTGAATTGTTTTTCTATGCACACGTGCTCCTACTATCTTCGTGGATCGATTATAGATGTGACAGTTTTCAGAATTCGACAAACCATACCTCATTTTGTTCGTATCGTCACGGGCTTTAAAAGTCCTAAATCAATTCTAAAGATTAATTTAAAATTTATCATTAATTGAGTTAAAAACTCTTTTGTGCCATATTAGGGTTTTTAATTGAGGAGACAAATTGTCAGTTTCGATTACATTGAGAGACAAATTATCAAAAAAATAAAGTCTGTATGACAAATTCTAAAAAATAGCATACTTTGAAAGGTTAAAAAAAATTCCTTTTATTTTCTAATTCACCAATTTTCAATAAGAGAAAAAGAGAAAAACGAAAGTCAAAATCTGACCTCAAAATCTCAACCTTGAGTTGGTGGGACAAAATCTCAGCCGTCCAAAAATCTCACTTCCCAACCCGACCCGACCCTCACAACCCAAATTACCCCATTTTTATATATACCTCAATTAAATTATATACACACACACGCTGTCGCTCACCCTGCAAGCAAATAGTTCCTCTTGAACTTCCCAACACATTCAAAGCTCATCTTTTCATCTCAAAAAATCACTTAAAAATGGAGCACGAAGGAATTCTCCTGGGCATGGGAAATCCTCTCCTCGACATCTCCGCCGTGGTGGATCAGGAATTTCTGGACAAGTAAAAGTTTTCGCTTCTTCATTTATAGTATTGGCTTACGCTTTATCTGCAATTTTTGATCCTCTAGCGTTTTGAGTATGCACAATGTAGTTTGATCATCTTTAGTGGCTTTCGATATGCGTGGATCTGAGTGCGTGTGCTGAAATTTCTGCATCATCAATCGCCATGAATGCTAGCTTGTATTATTGTGGTAGCTGGAGTTTTTGTTCTTTTT